ATTCAGTTTTATTAGCGAGTACCGCCGAATCGAGATATATTGGCCCAGAGGTGGCGGTTTATTGACGGTATGATATTATTTTAAAAACTCACTCCGGCTGGTCCACAAGCGGCATTGTAAGCGTCATTGAGACACACTCCGGTTTGAGCGACGGCTCTGAAAATTTCGACTTCGAAAATAAGAAAAATAAATAAATCTTACGGGCAGAAGTTGGCGGCCGAAACAGTCTGATTAAAGTTTCCAATGCAGTTTTGGTAGGCCTTCGTAGTCGGGAATGTTGCGAGGCATGACCATTGAGCAACGACTTCTAAACAACTCCATCTAAATACTTCTATTCCAAATATGATCCAAAAAAAACTAACCGCTGAATCCACCGACACACATCCACTCGAGTCCACGGAAAGTTCTCACATAGTCAAAGGCTGAAAGCACAGTTTCTATGTATTAGAGTACAGGAAAGTGTCTTACTATTGGAGAAATCAGGTTGTGGTTTGTTGAGAAGAGTGTAGAGATTCATGCATGGATAGTAGGAAGATCCGAGGCACTGGTAGAATTGAGTACGGGTGCTGAAAAAATGATTAATTGAAATTATTCTAGTAAAAGATATCACAAAGTGGTCAACTGATAAATTATTTATCATGATGCTACAAATGTTTTGTTAGTTGAAGTATTCTTGGAATCTTTGAAAAGAATCGATATTAATTTGGTTTATTTTAATGGGACCTACTAATACAGATTTCATGTACAATTTCGATTTCGTTTTTAGGATTACAAGGCTAGAGCACAAGTATCTTCTAAAAAATGCGTACTAAAAATATTAGAACTTTGAAACAGCAAAATTCTAATATTTCTAAACTTACTTGCAAACCTTCACCAACTCGGTGACATTCATCATCAAATAGTTTTGAACAGTGTTGAAAATGTAGGAACCATTACGCCACGAGATGGAATCGTCCATTCCGAAGAACTGATTGAAATGGGTCTGCAAATGAATTTTTTTAATGGTCTATTCAAACACCACCCCTGTCCTTCAAGCTCAATTATCTCGGTTCTTATGAGAGGTATCAGAAATCCATCAACTGATAAAAAGTTGGTGATGTTATGATAAACATTTTATCAGTTGACAAATTTTTGTTATCTTTTACAGGGACCGAAATAATGAAGCTAGAAGGGAAGGCTTTGTTTCTTCAATGAAAAGTTTCTCCGAGACATTTTTCAATGTTTCACCATAACCTTTTATAAAGTAAGTAATTAATTTTTTTAGTGATTCAATGCCATTTTCTACGATTTATCAATTGCCAATAATTCATATTTCCTAAAACCCAAAAAATTTTTTTTGAAAGACAAATTTTGAATTTCTCAAAAAAACCAAATTTTGGAGCCAATTTTGAAGCTCGCGAGATCATTTTACCTGACAATAGTTGAATTGAATATCATTACAAACAGAGATTGCTGCATTTTGTGGTTGCTCACGGAATGCCATCAATTGGATGAGCTCATCTGGCATATGATATGGAAGAAGGATGGATGCCTGAGCGGCTCCGAGGAGCACAAGAAGAGAAAGTGCCACCGAACGCATTCTGAATCATTTAGAAATTGTTAAAGTAAGACCAGCGAGAGAGTAGAGTGATTTATACATACTGAAACCGTATTTTCATGAAGATAGTATGTTCCTTATTGAAACATTGCTTGAAGTTAGCCATTGTGAACGTACATTCAAATTCAAATTATCCCGTAATAAAAGGTCCGCATCACTTTGTCCAATTTGACCCAATTTATCTCGGTTCCTGTGAAAGATGTCAACTAATTGTCAACTAATGAAATTTTTGTCATAATATCGAAAACGTTTTGTCAGTTGACTATTTTTCCTTATCTTTTACAGGGATAAATTTGGTCAAAGTTGAAAGAGCTTTTAGTACATCTTTAAGGTTTAAGGTAGATGGAAAGTCAATGGAAAGGAAAGAGTACATGGTTTTGAATAGTACTTCTATCAAAATTTCTACCCATAAATCAATTAAGGTCCAGGAAAAAAAAACGGATTTGACGAATGAAAGGTGAGAAGTTAACAAACGATGGCAATGTAAATCTTTTCTCTGATCATATATCTTTTCTCTGATCTTTTCTCTGATCATATAAAAATAACTAGCCCTATCCCATATACCCAACCTGGATGATCAATTTCAAAAGGGGAAATTTCGCATTCCATCATTCTTTACAAAATATTACGTCTTAAAAAGTGTTACAGTTTCAAAGTGTTCATATGAGAGATCGAAAAATTACAATGGCAATGCCTTCCTTACCTCCGTTTCTATACAAGTTTGATCGAACTATGACAAAAAAAGCAAAGGCATTCCTATTATTTTTCTAGATTATTTTGAAGAGATTCTTTCAAATTTTCACTCTTTTACTTGCATTTTTTAGAAAAAAAAGTTTTGCTCCCCAGAACAGAAATCTAACCTAGTTTTCATTAAAAACGCAAAAATTATTTTTCTTGATGTTCAAATAGCTAGTATCCAATTAGCTGACGAATTCTTCTAGAAAAAATATATTCCCTCTAACACACCGGCATCATTATTTATTCGTAAATTTCTAAAAAACTCTGGACAGGAAACTGTAAATTAAGTTTAAGAAGACAACTGGATCTTTTTTTCAATTTTCAAATATGTGCACTTTGAAACTGTAATATTTTTATAGATCAACAAAAAAGCTAAAAGTTGCTCACCTCCAAGAAAATAATCCCCGAAGTTTGCCGAAAGAGATTACTGTAGATTTTCCCCAAATGTCACATTTAAAATTTAATCATTCAGGATATATTTCGAATAGCATTAATAATTGCGGATAAAAAAACCAAAAGGCAGAAACAATAAAAATAGTTATGTTCAGTACCTAATTCTGATTTCGAAACTCATAACTTCTGAATTTGTCAACTTCACCAAATCTATGTTTTTTTTCTGTTTTTTTCGACTATGGGTAATATAAATTTTCATGTCAGTTTATAAGTTTTTGAATCTGGTAAATCAAATCTTCTGTCAGGTACCGTAATCACTTTAATAGAAAACCACCTTATACTTGATTTTGAGCTCAATTATCTCGGTTCCTATGAGAGATACCAAAATTTCTTATTTTGTAGAATGTTAGTAAAAACATAGTCCACATTTTTCCAATTGACAAATTCTTGATATCTCTCATAGGAAAGGAGATAATTGAGCTCAAAGTTCAAGCATAGGGAGGGCTTCTGTTAGAGCTTACGGTATCCGTCACAGAAAATTTTTTCGCTCTAGAAGAGCGGCGAGGCGAATAAAAGTTCCAAAATTTAGAGAAAAACGGAACGGAAAATCGCGAATTTCAGTGAAAAAATGACGTTTTTGAAGGGGTTGTGATGAAAATGAGTCAAAAAAGGACAGAGAGGGCGTCGTCGTCGGTTGTGCACACAGTCGTGGCAAAAATTATATGGCGTCGGCGAATCATTGATATCACTCGTTGGCACTGATGGGTTATCAAATCAAATTACGTCGTGGAGAGAGGGAGACACAGTCGTTTTGCGCCTTTTAACTGGATGATATTAAAAGCACACCTCGTAAAATGGGCAACCGTAAAAAGTGTTTGAAGGAGGGGTTTTTGAAATTTCTGCGTCTTTTAGAAAAGAATATTCATGTGTAAGAAACAAAAAAAACAAGAAAAGTTAACAAAACCTAAATCATGACAAAAATGGAAAGCGATGAAAGAAATCAGAAATAACAGATGGGTGATCAGCAACAGGAATCAACTTGTTCTTGGAGCGACTGTCGTGAGCACGGAATACAAATGACGTGGCGGATTCTGGAGAAATGACGTCTTTGTTGGAGTTGAGAGAAGAGAGAATTGAATCGATCTGAAATGAAAATCGGATTTCAGTTTTTAATGTCTAAAGAATTACATCATCTTGCTGCAATTTCCCTGCTAGATATTGCTCTTCTTCTTCAATTTTCTTCAGCTTTTTCTCCAATTTCTCCTTCACAAAACCTCTGGAATGATCGATTTCGTAGTGCAGCACCTTCTTCATTTTCATCTTCAACCCATACAATTCGACGTCGTTGAAAAACTTGGCGCCAGATTCGAAAAGTTGCCAATTATCGAACGACCCGCACAGATGGCATAAAAGAGCCATGGTGTTTCGAAATTCGATATTTTTGTCGAATTTAGCAAGGATTGAAGCTTTGGTTCGAAGAAATTGAACTTGATCACCGGAATCAACAAGGAGAGATTCGTATTCAGAGAGGAGACGCAGACAGTAGTCAGTTTCAGATTGACATAGCTGAAAAATTTTTTTTTGAGATTTCAGAAAAAGAAAACTATACTCCTCCTTCCTTAGTACATTGAAGAAGGGAATCGATCAGCATGATTTCATGGGTCCGGTTGTTTTTAGTGTTTTCACGGAGATCAGTGAGGATCTGAAATTCATATCGGGGTCAGTATTATGCTGATAGGCTGGAGGTCCTAAAACGTAGCCTGAAAATATTTGTATTTTCAGGATTTATTTTCTCGATTTTTCGAGCGTTTTCCGTTTATTCCCGGCTTTTCTGGAGGAAAATAACAGGAAAATCGAGAACAATCAGTGAACAAGAAAAAATAAATTCCGAAAAAAAAACGATTTTTAGGTTAGTTGTCGTTGTGGGACCTTCAGCTCCGATTTTTTAATACCGGAATATTACCTGTTTTGCTGCTTCGTAATCGCCGTTGCTATAAAAATCTGCTACCCGAAACAAGTCGATTTCTCTGAAATTTGAAATTTATTCCATTTTTAGAATATGGTCAATTTCAAATTACGTTATAGCCGTTGCAGTTTGATTCTCTTTCGAAACATCGCGATACCAGAATTTGTCATTTAGATTAGGAGAGAACATTGGATAATTTTTACGAGTTTTTGGTGTAGATTCATCGTCAGAAGACGGATCGAATTCGTTTAGAAAATCCATTACTGTTTCTTTTCTTCGGCTTCTTTCGGTGGTTCACCAACTTGTACACTTTGCACACAGGTGCGGAACTCCTTCACGACGTCTTGACACTTTCTCCAGTCCCGATGCTCTCCCATACAATCGGAAACCTTTAGATGGAGATCCCAGCAACCGGATTTTCTGAAAAAATCGAAAACATTTATTATAAAAAAAATAAAAAATTGCATCACTTGATCAATGTCTCAACTCGATCCTCTTGATCGGCGTTTCCAGTCCAAATATGCGGAGATTGTGGTGGTTTTGGAGTAGCAGCTGGAGCAGCAGCAGTTGACATTACCCCGTGTTCTTTGGAATTTGAAATTGTTTTGGGACGAAAGAAAATGATAGAAAAGCGAAAAAAGAAAAGAAAAGCAACAGGGAAGGAGTGTAATGGGACAAGAGACACAGACTCATAGAGAGGCCCCAGCGACTCCCGTTAGTTCGCACTCTTCAAAATTTTTGTCTTTTTTTTCGATTTCTCTGAGAGAAATACACCGAGAGTTGGGAATTTATAATTAAAATTGTCTCTTTAATAAAGAGTCTTTTTATTTTTCTCTATTCAATTTTTGTTGACAATTTCGATGTTAATTTTCTATGTCAATGCTATCTCTTTCTTTTTTTTTTTGATAATCGGACAACTTTTCGCACGCAACCTTGATTGCTGCAGCAACAAAGTTTACCGCGACACACATTATAATCGAGAAAAAAGGCGTCGTTCCCGAGAAGAACTTTTTAATGTCGTTTATCGCCCGAATCACGTGTTGAGACCTGTTTTTGCAACTTTCACGTGTTGGGTGTTGAGCTATATAGCTTTTTCTTTCGCTTTTGCTAACTTTTTTCCATGGAAAACCTTGTTTTTTAGTAAATTCTACTGAAAATTGAGTGAAAAAATAAAAATTTGATAGCGCACACCGTACGTCAACTTAAAGGAACATGCCATAATTCATATCTTCGCTGTGAAGCTCCGTTACCAAATTTGGTAAAGCTCCTTTAAAGTACTACTGTGTTTTGATAGAATTTTCGATTCGTTGTGTGATTCTAATTCCTTTTTTGGTCAGAAATTGCAAAAGTTCTGAGTAAAAAAAAGTAAAATTTTTGTATTACCAAATTCTTATTCGACTTCTAGTAAAATTCGCAGAAAAATGAGAAAAATCGCCTGAAAAACAGACTAAAAACCGTAATTATAGGAACATGTCAAAATATGTAAATTCGGTGTGAAACCCTAATAGGTTATTTTGTGCTGCTCCTTTGAAAAAATAACCTATTTTTTTAAACCGGAATTTTGTTCATGATTGTTTGTTTTTAAATAGAGTTCGAATAGACTATTGATCATGAAAAAAACAATCACCTCATTCTCTATGTGAAATTCTCTTGTCCGTTTCCCGAATTTCCGCCCATTTTATAGTCTCAAAACTTTTTTTCCGTGTCAGGTAATCAAGCCTCGAGTTCCGAGCAAAACCAAGCTGGAGAGCAGTCGGGAGTCGTTAGCTCCGGCTCCACAGATACCCACTCGAAATCATCTGGATTTCATCGCGGGATGGGGAGCCGGATGCATCGAAACGTGTATTCTGTATCCGTCGAACAAGATCATCTTCCGACAACAGCTACACGGATTCCACGTTAAGGATGCGATTCAACAAATCAAATTGGAAGGCGTGGGAAAGCTTTACAGAGGTCTTCTGCCTCCACTGATCATGCGAACGACGAGTCGAGCGTTGATGTATGGATTGTACGACGAATTTCAGATCTCCCTTAAATGCCCACATGCACCGCCCAACTCTTCATTCTCAATTTGTCACGCACAAGCCGCCTTTTTATGTGAGTACCCAAAAATTTAGAATTTCTTGAAATTTTCATTGCAATTCAAAATTTCCAGCAGGAGTATGCGAAGCGATGTTATGCCCGCTGGAACGGGTTCAAGTCCTTCTTCAAACAACGAAATTCCATGATAAATTCAAGAATACATTGCACGCGTTCAGTCGATTAAAAGAGTACGGATATCGAGAATATTATAGAGGATTTTCGGTGATTTTGGTTAGAAACAGTTTGTCCAACACACTTTTCTTCACGCTGAGAGATCCATTGAAACATAGGGTGAGGATAAAATTTTCAGATATTTTTCTGATATAGAAATCTGGAATTTCAGATAGTATCCCTTCCACAAGCCAGCCGTCTTCCATGTTCTCTTCAACACTGGATAGGCGATTTTATAGCTGGATCGCTGTTAGGTGCAACGATATCAACGGCGTTCTTCCCGTTGGGAGTCGTCAAAAATCATATGCAAGCAAAGGTAATTTTGGGGCCAATTTTTTGAATTCGGCGTCATTTTTGGATGTTTCAGTAGAAAGGAAACAAAGCGTATAAAGCCTATAATTTTTCAATAAAAAAACTGAAAACATGA